GCATGAAAGGATATAAAAAAATCTAACAAACAGACGTAAATTGTTACGGGAGTTTTGATAAATAGTACTGTTACACATTATTGCCTTTTACGGCAGCAATCAAGAACATACAAACAACACACGTTCTTACATACACACGTTCTTACAAAAAGTTATAGGTCAACAGCACCACCGAGACGAGAGCAGCCCCAAGCGAATCGTTATCAGCTCCACCACCCTCACTGCGGATAGCGGAATTTCCAGCTGCAGCAACACCATTAAAAACAACTATAACATTACCACCACATTACGTCATTACGCTGCTTTGGAAACGAGCGCAAAGCGACTATCAGACGAATTCAATCGGCGCTACAACGGATTGTGCGGGTAGGGTAGGTGCGCGTGTTCGTAGGAGCAGAGCGCATTAAATAGGCCTTACGCGTACACCTGCCCTACACTGTTTATGATACATATGTATATTTTTCTATCTTTTTGTTGTTTTTCTTTCAGCCCTATTCGCGTCATGCTAACCAACTACTACACGCTATACTGACACGCGAATAACAAACGCGCCCGCCTGACTGGAGACGCGTCCACCGTCAACCGCTAAACGCGGCACAACTACATAAACCCCCTAGCTTGAGTGGAGCGGGGACACAGCGATATAGAGAAAGGCTGGAATCGGGTGTTTTACACTTTTTTTGTGAGACGGTGCAATACGTCGTAAAAATATTTTAGTTAGCTACATTATTGAAAATTAAAATTTAATTAAATTTCATTTTTTTTCAATTCGTAGTAAATAAAGTATTATAAATCGTGATATTTATCTTCCAATATTGCTTATCTAACGGCAAGCCCATCATTATTGTATACTATATTTTGTTGTTTTTTTTAATTTTACACCTGAAGTATAATTAGTTTATAAATGGGAGTGATCAGCAAGCGATATTTAAGTATGTATATGCAAATGCATTTACATACATATCGTCGGTGATACTGCAAAACGGTCTATGTCTATTAGTGCCATTGACACTTAGATAGTCTCTTACTTGCACCGGAATGCATCTGCATATCGTTACACCCTAATAAACGAATGACAAAACTGTCTACCTTTGGCTGATTAAGATGAACGATTGCCAGAAGCGATCAGATATAGATAACAGAACAATTAAGCACCAGAGGTAATAAGTGACATAGAACGTTTTGCAGTATCACCGACGATATTTAATACTATTTACAGTACGAGTATGTATGAACGTATGTCAGCACTACGTATTGAATTTTAATACGCACGCACGCGCTAAAAAGGTATTATTAAAATTGCCAACGTAGTAAATTGATAGAAAAAATATACATATGTATGAGATATTTTCTCGACTATGCGCGTATAGCACAGATGGCTCCTGCGTGCAATTCTAAGCAAATTTTCCGAAGAAACCATGTGTCTAAAATCAATTTGGAATTTTCCAAATTACGAAAAGAGGTTTTCTAGCATTTTGCTGTACATAGGGTCGTAATGAAGGGCAAGAGGAATCCATTTCTGCACTTATTTGTTCGTAAAACTTTTGCCAGAGGGCGCAACAGTAAAAATTTTCACATTTTCTTCGAAACCTATTTTTGCAATTTGGCACTCTTCAAATTGACTTTAGACCCATGGTTTCTTCGGAAAATTTGCTTAGAATTGCTATACGCGCACAGTAAAAAAAAATTACCCCCCAAAAAAAGGGCTAAACAATTTGTTCTTATTTTCTATTTGGTTGATTAAATAACCCAGGCGCCGTAGTTTTTTCTTATACTCGAGCGCACTTGTGCTTAAGGGTATTATAACTGTGTTCGCATAACGGTTGTTTGTAACAGCCTAAAGGAATCGAGATAGATATAGACAAATTTATACATAAATGATCAGAATGAAAAAAGAAGTCGATTAAGTCTGTGCGTCTGTGCGTCTGTGTGTCCGTGTACATGAAAACTCGAGCAAAATTGTATGTATTTATGTATGCTCTTTGGTATGGCCCTTTATCCAATAGCAACCTATTTATAATGGGCGAAATCAGACTGTAACCACAACCCCCTTCTCATATAACGGTATTTTAGAAAAATGGAAACTACGATATTTCTGTAAATATTGGACCCAAATTGTTGAAAATTAGTTTGTGTAGTAGAATTTGGCTACAAATAATACTATTATGAAACTTTTGGAAAAGGTGCGTGACACCGCTCACTTACAGTATTGGCCAATACAATAGCACCCCCCATTTCAAAGTGATATTGTTTGGCACTCATGTTTATTTATAAACCCAAGTTTTAAACTTTGTAAAAGACTGCAAAAAATGCAAACAATTTTCACTTAAATTTCAAACCTTTTTCTCAGAAGTGTTATAATTTTTATGAGCAAGCAGTTTTATTATTCAAATTATTTAAAAATCAAAGGCATCAGATCCGCACATTCGTTCGATTTTCAAAAATTAGGTGTCAAATGTAAATGTAACTGTGCACGTCAGTTAAAGTAACTTAAGAGACTTTAGAAGGTGTGCCCTATGAATGGAAAAATAATAAGTTTCCCTTAAAAAATTATATTTTTTAAGCTTCTTTTAAGAGGGAACCTTAAACTATGTAAACCTATGGCTAGTTGATCGTAAAAATATTGTTTCAGCTTAAGCTAGTTTTAATGGCGCGCACAGATATCAAAGTTTACTTTGTACACGTTTCTAGATCCAAAGGATTAAAGTTTTTGTGCAATTTTTTGTCCATATTTCCATTTTTTGGGGTTAAAGGTCATTGTAATCCATTATTATCATTTAGGGTAAGTATTCCCTTAAGCGCGAATAGTAGAGAACTCGAAAACCTCGAAAGTTTATGGGCTGTTTTTTTGGGAATGCACTTTTTTGCAACCTCGTAAAGAATGGCGGAATTTAGAAATTTGGCAATTCAATCAGAGTTTCTTTGTATAATACATGGTATCAGTTGAAGTAAATATAAAACCAAAACATTCAAAATGCCACGAAAAAGTGAAAAATGTAAATTGTGTGAATTAATATACCAAAATGCAATGCTGAAATTTACGAATTACTTTTCGAAGGCGTTTTCGCGACTAGTTTGCCTGAACAGTTTTCGAGGCATGCGAAACGCGCTATACCTACAATTTTTGACAATTGTTTTTCGGGGCTGGAAAAGTTTCGATTTTTCTGTCATTTTCGAGTTAAGGATACCCTAATTGAAAAAATAGTACATCAGATAGGAGTTTGCCGAAAAAGAAAAATAAAATAAGGAAAATAAACAAGAAGTGAGATTTTACGATAAGCAAAAATGGAGTTGATTAAAAAATAAAGCCTTACTTTAAATAAAGAAAATTTGAAAACGGAAAAAAAAAAACAATAGAAACATAGGCAAAGGGATTAATAACGAAATAAGGCGATTTACATTATATGTATTATGTGGTGAAGTGTGATGATGATTTACAAAATCAACTACTAAATCAACTACTATGTGATTACTTAAAGAAAATACAAATACAATGCACGAGTATGCACGTATGTAAATAGTAAGTACATATGTACATATCCATGTATGCATGTTAGATATACATACACATATGTAGATCGGGCATGGGCAGGCAACAAATATCGCTGGCTTAGAGTGAAAAGTTGCTAATTACACCTTTTATGGAAACTCATATTTTGATAGAAGAAGCAAGAAAAATTAAAAATGCATCGTTTCATAAGGCATTAAGGTACATATAGTCACCTGAAATGTAAAAAGACGTAACATCATCGTAAATGAAATGGAAGAAGTCGTGACTAACATTTTAATTTTCTTTTATAAAATGAAGTGGGGAGTTTGTAATTCGATGAAAACCATAATAAAAATCAAAAAGTGAATTTTGAATTTTTTATTAGTTACGTCTTTTTGCATTTCAGGTGACGATATGTACTTGTTTTATTTTTTCCAGTTTATATTCAACAAAATGCAAATTTGCTCCATAAGGGGCAGCGAAAATCCGATAAGACCAAAGGATGTATATAACATGAAATATTTTAATAAAGAACAAAACCTTCTGATTCGTATAGAGTTTTTCGTTGCTTGAAACACCCAAAATTGTGTATTCAAAGTTTTGCGAAATACTTGAAGAAAATGACTATAAAGAGGTTTTTTCCTCACCTATAAAATTGGTGAAAATGGACTTAGCAACTCTTCACTCCAAGCTAACGATGTGTACATGGCTATGAGGGTACAAAAGTTGAAGGTAAAGGAGCTGATGATGGCGAAGGCAAATGAATGTGCGTATATACGTACATACATGTATATATGTAAGTAAATGTATATAATTATGCAGATAGATATGAATAGGTGCACACTATAGTGTATCTATAAATTCAAAACTGTGTGAGAGTGAATGAAGGAAGAATGATGAAAATTAGCTTAACTAAGGTGAAAGAGCCTGCTGGGCAAGTAGGTATAAAGATGGAGCGATAGAGTTCCATATAATTATGTACACACATATATATATATATGGAAATATGTATGAACCACTGAATAATGCTGTGACAGTCAAATGGAAAACAGGGTGATGCATGTAGATATGTATGCATGTAAATTTGCAGTAAGGTGATGAAAGTGTGATGTGAAATGATGTTTTTGTGTTGATAATGCCACAGAAGCAAAGATAGAAATGCTAATACAGGAATTAAAAAAACACAAACACGCACACATCTACACGCCATGCCTTTTGAATGCATGTTCATGTGGAGATGTGTGTGAGTATTGTCATCCACATTTTTTTTTCTGCTTCAAGGAGAGGCACAACCGCAATAGCACAGCGCTGCCACAGCCACATTTGGGCCACATGGCGCCAGCACAAGCCCGCCGCTGCTCCGACCTACGGCCTTGCAAAGCGTAGGAATGCGGGCGGGCCGGTGGTGACTGCCACAAGGTGCATCAAAGTTGAGCTGAGCGCGGCTCATTCGCGCATTGCGCCTCGTCGAACACATACAATGACACTCACCTGCACAAGTACTTTTCTTGTTGTTTTTTTTTTGTGGGTTGCTCGAACTGCCGTTCCTTTTCACTTCTGACGCTGTTGCAACTCCCAAAATCGGCAATCGTATGCGTACGTGCGTTTATTTGCGTTAGGCGTGACCTGAATGCGTTGATGCACTTCCTCAACAAAGAAGTCGCTTCCCGCTAGAATTTCTCACACTTTCAACTAATATTCAACTTAGCGGCCCCTTCACTAAATTTGTATACTACTTCACTGTTAAGGTGACACACACACAATTACAATAACAACAAAAAACTGTTTTCACAATATTTTTTTCTTTGAATTATGTATTTAGCAAGTTGTTGTTTTGCTGTTTTTGTTAATTGTTGATTAACAAATCTGTTTTTTTTGTACCTATGCGTATATTTTTTTGTTTTTTTTTTCTTTATTCCTTTTACGCCGCCGTCTTTCGTTTCAGCTGGTATTCCGAAGTTCTCTTTTTTCTCCCTTTTCCCACACGAAAAATCAATAATTTGCTTGTTCACCTTCTCGCTAATGATTTTTCTTTAGCGTTTTTATTTTTCTCGATTTCGTTTGCGTTTATTCTTTGTATTGTTGTTAAGAGCGTTAATTACCGCCTTGAATGTGAGCACGAATTCGTTGTTTCCGGTTATTTTTCGTAGGTTTTTATAATTGATACACTTTGATAAGTTGGATAATATTTAATTGGTCTGACTCAGTACAACAAATGTGCCACTTAGCTGTGCTTAGCCCCTCTACAACACGACGGAAACAAAACACAACCGTTCGCTGCGACGTCAAAATTGCCAGTGGAGCATTGGCAGCTCGGCCAGCGTGAGCAGCACGCAGCAGTTGGAGCTGTCAATGCGAATGGAAACAGTGATGTTAAAACCTGTGAATTTTCCCCTTTTAATGGAGTTTTTAATTAAAAATGAGCTAAAAGAGAAAAAGGTATTTGGTTTTGTATATAGTACAAAAAGAGGTAGTTTTGAAAGTGGCTCAGCTGATATAAAATTCTGCTTTTATAAAAATAAATGTATGTCAAATCAAGAGGCAAGTTCCTCGAAAAAGGTGCAAGATTTGTAGAAATTTAGCACGTTAAAGAAAACTTGGGGCATTTTCCTTTCGAAAGTAAGAAAATGGATACCTCTTTGAGAGGCTTTTCTTGTCTTGAGGAGTTCTTTTTTGAAGTTGATTAATAAAGAAATTAGTTTTGAGTAATTTTAATCAGCCTTATCCTGAGTTCCGTCTGAAAAAAAAAATTCACCCGAAAATTTAACATCCGCCCATAATACAACCATGGAAACCAAAAGTGACAAGTGAACCGGTTCGGAGAAAATGAAACTCTTGATAAGGCCAAATATTAATTTTCCAAGAGAAATTCGAACTAATATGCAATCGAATTAATTCAGCAACTCGACATTATCGATATAGAGCAGAAACCAAAGTCCCAAAGATCTCCAATCAGCCGTCTTATTTTGTTACAAGTCGATTTTGACAGTTCTCGTTAATCCACATCAGTGTTGTTGGTAGACTTAACCTAAAAAGGGGACAAGTTGTGGCCTACACTGAACAAAAAGCTGTTGGTTGAGTGAAAAAAGATTTAAAATGTGTGATTCCACCATGAGCAAAATATAAATATTTTCCAGACCGAAATCTCCCTCCTTTCAACATTAATTTACTGCAGTTGATTATCATTTGCGAAAAAATTAAATTAAACTACCTTATCTTGAGTTTCGCCCGAAAAAAAAATCACCCCAAAAATTTTCATCCACCCATAGTAAATACATGGAAACGAAAAGTGAACCGGTTCGGGGAAAATAAACTCATGATAAGGCTGAAAATCTACGTCTTGATTAAAATCAAATACACAACACTGTTTTGCAATCGCTGGCAGGCATTTGGGCCCTAACCGATTCGAATTGGAATCCAAAAGGAATGGATGCTAATGTTGCTGCAGCAGCGCGATCTGTCGTCGAAGAATGCGTCAAATTAGAGGAAAGGCTGAAACAGAAGGTGCAGCGCGACATCTAGCGTTGAGGCGTAGCAGTTTGTTAGAAGAAGCAATTTCTCCGCGGCGGAAATCAAATGGTGTCACACCGGAAGTAAGATTGACCTGAAAAACAACATTGATTATCTCTCATCGCACCATTTGACAGGAAAAGTTTTTAATCAATAATTGACAATAACCGCATCGCTGCTACTAGCACTAGGTTTTTGTAGTATGTGGCATCTCTTAATTTTTAACCCTTATTCATATATGTCAGTTCATAAAATCGCTTAGTTAAACCTAGCTTGTAAAAATCAAAATTTTGTAGAATTTTTGCGATAAAAAAATCTTTCCAAACCCTGGGGATGTCTATAGTTTGTAAATAGAATTAAATAAGAGGTGCCCATGATGTTCATATTTTAAGGACCCCCCTTAATGTGTAAGAACATATTTATTTAGGTTGTATTCCTATAGTAAAGGTCATAATACAGGCAAATTTTAGGATGTTAAAGAAGGAAGGAAAAGCATTTTATTAACTTATATTTAATAATACTTTATATGAATAATTATTTACAATTTTATGCACTTAAACCTTTTCAAGTAACTAATAACTTATCTTAAAAACGGTGTACTGTAAGCAAAAACAAATTAACACACCAAAAGCTCAAACAGGTGGAGCCAGCAACGCGTTTAGCGAGATAAAAAGCTTAATTTATAATACTTATAAATACTCGTATAATAATTCTTGTGTGAGCATACATAACTACAAAGAAGGACATATTTAGAAAGCTACTACATAAGCTCCCTATATACACACATAGATAGAAAACCGTAGGCAATGTTGCTCAACATGTTGCTACTTACCAATTTGTTGCTTGGCCATTCAATATGCCACCTATGCCACTCATACATTTAATACAGTTTGTGTTGTTGTTGCTGCACCCTAAATGGCTATTGGCTGTAGCCATACAACCATCCCAAGCATGTCCTGGTTCCGGCTCATATGCAGGATTTATTATTCCTTCGAGACGGCAATTTAAAGCAGACATTTTACTTAGGACGCCGATTTTTGTAGTCTTTGTTGCACTGCACTGCACCGAACTATTTTTTGGACGCATTTTTTTGTGAGCGTTATATTTTTTTTTTGTTGCAAGTTAATTTTTTTTTCTTTTTTATAATTTTTGTAAAACGATTGTATTGTCCTTAAGAGATTTTGTACTTCTTTCACTTCTGCTTTTCAGTTTTTAACTTTTAAGTAGCATTTCCAAACATATATACATACATACATATAATGTATTAGATCGCACGACCTTACATGCAAACAAAAAATCCGCCGCACAGTCGTGAGTGTAAAGTATTTTTACAAAACAATTTGCAAAAAAAAAATTTACCGAACCTACAAATTTTGTTCATATCCGAGCACACTTGTGCACAAATGTATTATAACTTTGTTCATATTTTTTTTAGGTGAGACTGGTTAGTTCTAACGCGAACGGGCCCGGTGATGGGCAGCATTAAAAGTCCAGGACTGTTTCAAAGCTACATCTAGGCTTTGGACAACTGGAAAACTCTATTAAAGCAATTAATTTATTATGTTCCACCGCTATGAAATGGTTCGCGAAACACTCGAAAATTTTGATTTAATAATTATATAACCAATGTGTATTATTTAAATATTTTAATAATCAAATCTAGAGCTAAAATATATATTTTGATACATTTTTACATTTTGCTACACTTTTTGGTACACAAAAAAAGGAAGTATGTAAGTGGTAACCGTGAACATGGCATATGAAGATGCGGCTAATAAAAAAAAATTCTGTCCATATACAGAAACTCTAGGATACATAAATATGTATGCATGCATAAGTCATATTCCTTAAAAAAAATATTTCAATGAAAATGAGGACATTTGTAGATTTCCAAATTTTTGCATTATTATTGTTAAACTTTTGGTATGCTTATTTAGTTTGATTATACATATTTCATTAAGCTACCGTTAACTTTTTAATTATAATTTTTTAATAATGCAAATGTTGGTGCAGCTTTTTTTGTTTTAATTTGTTTTAATTTTGTATTTTATTTATTTGGTTTTTCAGCCAAATGTATTGTATATATGTACATATGTGTGCACATGTGTTTTTTTAATCCCAATTTTTTTTGCACAAATTCAAATTCAATTAATTTTAGCTTTTTTTTAAATAAACATTATTTTGGATTTCGGTTTTGAAATAACAAGCGTTTTTCAGTTTATTTTGCTTGGTATTCAAAATTAAAGTTCACTAAAGAAGACTCAACCAAATATGAATATGTTTTGTTTACTTTTTTAATTTTTTTATTTAAAGTTGATTTTAGTTTTTTTTATTGTTTTTTATTTATTTTTTCGTTTAACGAAAATTCGCCCCGTTTCAGTTTGATCCGTCACCAAAAAGCTCGATTTCTAAACTAATTCTAATTTAACTGATTTCACCCGCTTAGCTCACAGGTGGCAAAAAATACATATTAAGTCCAATATAATTCTAGTTAATCAGCTGGCGCCCCGGCAAAGCTCAACTTCCGAATTTAAACGTGTCTAGTGAACCGAAAAATTGGCCAAGGGTAGAAATGCACAAAATAAATACATTAAACATTAAATTCGAACTTTAAAATGGAATTCGTTGACACTATGTAGCCGGTGTGTTTTCTTTGAGGTGCGGTTACTGAATTATCGTAAATACAATGTATTGTTTACCCATTACAACAAGCTTTTCTATGCAAAATTTCACTTATTCTCTAATCGCTTATATTCATACATATGTATGAATGTGGATTCGTATTTGTACATATGTGTGTACATTAGGGCGGGTCAATTTGTATGGGAGATTTTTTCGACTATGCGCGTTTAGCGCAGTAGGATTCTACGTGAAATTCTAAGAAACTTTTTCGAAGAAACTATGGGTCTAAAATCAATTTGGGGTTTGCCAAATTGCGAAAAGAGGTTTCTTAGCATTTTGTTGTAGTGTCGTAAAGAAGTGCTTAAATTTTGTGTAGAAACATGTTATAAAGGGTTTTTTTCTGTATTAGGCCTCCATTTCTGCACTTATTTTTTTCCTAAAACTTCCACCAGAGAGCGCAACAGTGAAAATTTTCCCATTTTCTTCGGAACCAATTTTCGCAATTTAAGACCCATGGTTTTCTGCAAATTTGCTCAGACCTACACGTAGAACCCTCGTATGGTATAGGCGCATAGTCAAAACAAAAAATGACGAGCCCTAATGTACGTACATATGTATATATATGTAAATTAGGTATATGACTTTTTTCTAAAATTTAAAAATAACGTTCTTGTTAAAATTTTAAAAAAAAATAGCTAAAATTGTTTCTTTTTGTCCCATTGAATAAAGAAATAAAAAAATTAGTAATCAATTTTTGATCGCAGTCATCATTCGGTATACATAGAATACATGTACGTTTTTCCAGTAAAATTTTTGTTCTCGGCGTTCCTTGCTAGAACTTTCTTTACCAAATTTTGACAAAAACGTTATTTAGGTTGGTTTCTTCATCCTCCGCTCATAAGTATGTATATTTAATTTTGGAAAAAAGGCATATGCCTAATGTATTTACATGTGCACTGGAAAGCTACGGCTTATCAAAATAAAGAAAAATTACCAAAAACAAAAATCAAAGCAAAATTTGCATTTATTTAAGGGCGTTACCGAAAGCTCTGCCAGCACTTAAATTGCCGTTTTGGAGCAGTAAATTATATAAATGATGCAAAAATATTAGGCACTAAAAGCGATTACATGCTCGTAAAATATACATTTTTATCCTCTTTCGTAGATTGCAAGTTCGTGCTT